TTCAGTTATATTTTACCCATTATGGCTCTATTTCAAATGAAAAAAAAAAATTGGAATTTACCAATCCTGGTATATTTGTTCTTTAGTTCTCATATATTTAAAAATTATAAAACTAGCATTATTTAGTTTAACGAGATCATCCCCCAAACAACCCTTCTCTTACATCTCTAAAGATTCTTATCATCAATTAACGCACCAAACCTTTCCTTCAAAATTATGGCTACGTTTGACTCCTTAAAAAAATGATAGCAAGTTCAGCTGTGACCTGTTGTGATTTTTCTGTAGTCTTATAAAAACTAACCTTGCTGTTTCAACTTAATTATTAAGTATAAAGAGAATACTGTGACTAATTTATTACTAGGGGAACACCCAAGACAACAAGCTGTACTGATGTTGCCAGTGTGAAGGGATTTCACAACTGGATCAGTGAGTAGCATGATGATAAATTAAGAAAAGACTGAAGTTTTCACGAGTTTCTTCTGGCGTGGATCCACAATCAATGCTCACGAAGGCAGCAGTCAAGAGATCAAGCAGCACACAGCATTGGGTAAATCTGCTGCACAAGACCTCTCATTGAAAAGCAAAGGTGTTACCTTTGAGGAATAAGGTAACTGTGACCCAAGCCATGGTATTTTCAATTGACTTGCATACATATGAAAGTTGGCCATTGAATAAGGCAGATGTATGAAGAACTAATGCATTTGAATTATGGTGCTGGCAAAGCATATTCAATGTATCATGGACTGTAAAAGGGACAAACATCTGTCTTGGGAGAAGTCCAACCAGAAGGCCTGGGCCCACATAACTGCAACATGATCAGGAGAAACCAGTCCCTAGAGAAAGACATCATGCTTAGTAAAGTAATGGGGCAGTGGAAAAGAGGAAACTCTTCAACAAGATGAACTGACACAGTGGGTACCCCAATGGGCTCAAACATAAGAACAGCAGTGGTGATGGCACAGGACCAGGTAGTGTTTCGTTCTGTTGTACATAAGGTTACTATGCGTTGGAACTAACTCAAAGGCACCTAACAACAACTGTGTATCCTGGGATGTTGATTCCTAGGCTCACCAAGATGTATAGGTATAGAAATGATAAAAAGGAACTAAGGAGGGTTACTATGTATGGGGGCGAGGAGAATGTAGCTGTGAGCAGCATATGGAAGCAGCCATCTATTGAGACTCAAAATGCAAGTTTGGCTTTATAGTATATTTTCAAATTGTGGGACAAGGTTAGGATCTTTATTTCCTTCTCCAAGACTTAGATCTTACAGAGTCACTACTATCTTTCTAAGGAAATGTCTTCTCCTCACTTATTATGCCCCAATTAAATGACTGCTTTGGATTTTCAATAAGTTCATAAAGAACACTTCATAGGGTATCAAGGCCTAAGCTCTACAAGTTGGCTTATTATGTAATCAAAATTGTCAATCATTCATAAGGGACAATGTGATATGAAAGCATTAGGTTCTAAGTTAAGCACGAATTACTACTAAATTATTCTTTGCCTAGAACTGCAAAATGGTTTTGTTATCTATAAAAGACCTATCTCAAAAATACCCAGCAATTAAATCTGGACAATCTCTTCTGGTAAATAAATCAACCAACATGTAACACAGTAAGAGGGACAGATTAATCAGTCATGTTTCATTATAGGACCTTGAACCTTTCTTAGCATACAAAGCACTTTGCCTTGGCCTAAGTTATCTGGGTTTCATTTAGTGAAATCATAATTTATTTAGTGTTGGGCAGAATAGTATACAGCATTTAAAATAATTACAAACATTAAAAAATTGCATCCAGTGGGGAAATAGATCTACGAGCCTACATTTATAGGTTTAGTATTAAGGTAGCAGATGGACATTGGGCCTCCACTCAAGTACTCCCTCAACACAA